TGTGGCGCGAAGCACATTTCGAAGTTAAAAGTGTAAAAAACTGAGGGTTTTGAGCCTTTTTGGACGTGAAGATGTCGAAAAAGTAGAAAAAGTAGACACTGGATTAACTTAACTAACTTCACTAACTTAACTACCCTAACCTCGACGACAACAGCAACAGCAACAACAACAACAACAACAACACCAACCACAACAACTACAACTACAACAACAATAGATCGATAGATGGAGAGATAGATAGATAGATAGATAGTCAGATTAGATAGATTAGACTAGACTCGATTAGATTAGATAGATAGATAGATAGATGTCAGACAGGTAGACACTAGGACAGATAGGCAGATGAAAGACACAGAGAGAGAGAGAGAGATAGATAGATAGGTAGATAGGTAATTAGATGAAAGAGAGAAAGAGAGAGATAGATAGATCGATAGATAGATAGATACATAGAAGATAGGCTGGTAGGTAAGTAGATAGTCAGAGAAAGAGAGAGAGAAAGAGAGGAGACCTCAAGCACCTTTCGGTCCATCAGTGGCTTCCCTCTGCCATCCCTCATTCACAACAACCAAGCTCTCCTATAGGTTTCCTATTTTTGAAACTTCCGCCACCGCCTTGTGCGGTACTACTGGTACGTTTGATTGATTGCATATCCTGTTAATTCAAAGCATATCCGATGATCATATCCCAGTGTTTCTGAACAAATATCCTCATTTTGCTTCATGCTTACCCAATCATATCATATCAATATTAGTTAGGTCCCATTCCATCCAATATTTGTTGGTTCGATAGATCCCCAGTTCTAGATGATTACTGTAGCCGAGCCTACACACCATTGATTCAAATTTGCGCGTTGGCTGAACCTTTGCTCCCAATTGAACAGGATGCCATCTTCCCTGGATACTTAGCTCCCCCAAAATCCATGGCCAACCTAAAAGAGCAGTCTTTGAAACCCTCCACGTCGTCCCAACTGGCTGGTGGAGAACGGAGTTCCGGGTTGATGGACTGTGCTCATACCAAATGCATTAGATGGTATAATCAACACAGAATAGCAACCCCCGATATACGTTGGTTGATAATATCCATTATATACGTATAGATGTAACCACCATATGGTCACCATAAAGCCTATTTACTGGAGTTATAAACAAATTTAGCCATCATAAAAATCAGCTATAAATCCCATGAAATCCCAATTTTCCTATGGTTTCCTAGGGTTTCCTCAGCTATCTTGGGGTACCGGCCTGCAGGGGCTTCATTTAAGGTAACCAAGGCTCCAAAATCCACGGCAAGCGCGCCGGTGCCGCGCTGGCACCGCAGCTGCTACTGGCATGATGGAGGGCCAGCACAGAGGGGTCCTTCATCTCGTCCTTGGACCAGAAAAGAACACCTATATATATATGTATATTGTATCAGATATTATATGAGACATTATACTAGATATTTTGTATATCAACTATTATTTTGGATATCATATTATATAGTATTTTAGATATTATAATATGTTCAGTATTGTGTCATATATTGTATGTTAAAGACTCTATTCAATATGTGCATTAAATAGTGTATATTATTGTAAATTATATTATATATCATATAATATTATGTTCTACTATATCATATTATATATAGTGTAATATATCAAAAATAGTATATCATATAATATATTATCATATACTAATATACTATTTTAGATAGTATAATGTATATCATCATATTTACTTATATATATATATTATAAATTTCATTATCTTTTCTATACAAGAACTCAACATGATTTTCAGCAACAAGAATGATCATATTGAGCATTGAAGTATAATAATGTATCATATCCAATCCTGTGTGGGATATGTTCGTGTATTGGAAGGTGTAACTCTTTTTCGCCGCAGCAGTGAAAAAGAATCAGCTCCTCAGCTCCGACGGACAGTTACAGAAAAGCCTGAGAGTTCACCATAGATGGTACTCAAGTCATGCTGTCCCTTTAGAATTTGAAATCATATAC